AGCGAAAGAGAGGAAGACCCTCAACGAGATGGACTGATAACAATGGCTGCAACAATGGGCTCAAACACAGCAATGATTTTGAGGATGTTGCAGGACCGGGCAGTGTTTCATTCTGTTGTTGTGTGAGGTTGCTATGAGTTGGAACCAACTCAACACTACCTCACACCATAACAATATTCTGCACTGCCATCTTATTTTCAAATTATTATCCTGAACGGCCCTTGAAATAGGAAAGAAACAATGTGTTCATTCTACCAGTGCTGAAACTGAAGGCACAGATGAGGTTGTGAAAAGGTGACAGGTGGCGAGTTGGCACAAGAGCTGCCAGTGGAAGGTATGTCTTTCTGGTTAGTCTGCTCAACTACTGGCTGCTCTAGTAAGTCACATGATACCTCAGTCACAATCAGTTGTTCAGACGCAAATTTAAGGAACATTATCCTATTATTTTTAACACCTTTACTGACGTATTATTGATGGGCAGTAAACTGCATATATCTGAAGTGTATAATTTCATAAGTTTTGACATATAGAAACACTTGTGAAACCAATACCACAATCAAGAGAGTAAACATATCATCTCTAAAAGTTTCCTTGTGCCCTTCTGTAACTCTTCTCCCTGCCCATCCTACCTCAGGCAACTAAAGATGGATTTTTTGTCACTATAGGTTAGTTTGCATTTTCTAGAGTTTTATATAACTGGTTTTATATAGTTTGTATTCTCATATACTGCTGGTGGGAATATAAAATGGTACAATTACTTTGGAAAATAGTTCGGCAGTTTCTTGAAAAGTTAAACATACATTTACCATATGATCCAGCCATTCCAGTCCTAGGTATTTGCCAAAGAGAAATGAAAGCATATGTCCATACAAAAATTTGTACAGGCATATTCATAGCAGCTTGCCCTGGTCGCACAGTGATTAAGAGCTACGGTTGCCAATCAAAATGTCAGCAGTTTGAATCCATCAGCTATTCTTGGAAACCCTATGGGATAGTTCTACTCTGTCCTACAGGGTTGCTCTGAGTCAATCAATTTGATGGCAATCGTTTTTGGTTTATTTGTAATAGCTCCAAACTAGAAATAACCCAAATGTCTATCAATAGGGGAATGCAATAAACTGGTATATTCCATACAATGGAATACTCCTCAGCAATAAAAAGGAATGAAATGTTGATACATACAACATGGATGAATCTCAAAATAAAGAAGCCAGATCATCTGGGCCTGGAGATTTCCTTTTGGGGAGATTTTAAATTATGAATTCAGTACCTTTAATGGTTATAGGGGTATTCAGGCTATTTCATCTTGCCTGAGTTTTAGTGGCTACTAGCTATTAAGGAATTGGATCATTTCTTCTAAGTTGTCAAATTTATCAGTGTAAAGTAATGGCTGTTTGATCTGTAGTGATATAATCTTATCTCATTCCTGATACTGTTTTTATGTCCTCTATTTTTGCCAGTCTTCCTAGAAGTTTAGCAATTTTATTTATTTTTTTTTGAAGCACAAGTTTATTTGTTTTCCTGTTTTCAATTTTACTGATTTCTGCTTTTATCTTTATTATTTCCTCCCTTTTGCTGGCTTTGGGTTTATTTTGCTCTTCTTTTTCTAGTTTCAGGTAAGAATTTAGGCTATTTTGCTAAAACTTTTCCTCATTTTTTTTTTTTTTAAGTGGCTCTGTGGCAAAGACCTGGCGATCTGCTTCCATAGATACAGCCAAGAAAACCCCATGGGGCAGTTCTAGTCTGTCCTAAAGGGTTGCTGTAAGTCAGAATCGATTTGATGGCAAGGTTTTGATTTTTTTTTTTAATTACCAATCTAAGGGGCTACCATAGATTTAATAGGAAATTAAGTAAGGGACAGAAGAAACTGATGTCACAACTGATGCAGATTCATTGTTTGTCCTGCTTATAAATACCTACAAAAAGTTCCTAGGCAGCAAGAGAATGATAATAAAATTTCAATCATATTATGTAAATTTTCTTCCTTCTCTTTCTACCCTAGATCAGATACCTTAAGACACTAGTAATTGGTAATCTTACTGAGTAAAGCGTTTTTTAGAAGCTGTATATTCAGTTGAAAGGAAATGTATAAGGAGTCATATCTATAAAATAGTCTCTGGCAATCATACTCAGATAACCTTGATATTGCTAGTCCTGTAAGTACTTACATGATGGATGGATGAACCCTCTTCCTTTCACATATTTAAAAAGGCTATTTGGAGAGGGCTGATATGTAAGATATCTTATTATTAGAAGAGATTTTATTGAAAGTTTTTTTTATCATTTACTTCATTTTTATAGTTTTACCATACATGTGTCTCTAAACAGTATCATTTAATTTTTTATAGCTTCATATAAATGTATTCGTCTTGCTTTTTTGCTCTATAAGATCCACATAAGTTGATTTGTTTAGCTATAGTTCATTTATTTTAATTGCTGAATAATAATTAATAGAATGACTTTACCACAATTTCTTTATGCATTATACTGTTGATGGACTTCTGGGATTTTTTCCAATTTCTGGTTATTCTGAACAGGGCTGCTATGCATATTCTGGTACTTGTCGCTGCTGTTCCTGTGTAAGCATTTCTCTGAGGAATATACCTACAGTGGAAGTGCTAGGTCATAGAGTTAGTAGAACTGCAGGCTTATCAGATGATGCCAAACTCTTTTCCTGAGAGGTTTCTACCAATTTATACTCCCACCAGCAGTGTATGAAATATCCTGTTACCTCACATCCTTGCCAGAACTTGGTATTGTCAGACTTTTGATTTTTGTCAATTTGGTGGGTATGTAATGGTATCTCTTTGTTGTTTTAATTTGTATTTTTCTTACTTCTAATGAGGTGGAACATCTTTTCCTATTGGTAATCTGAATTTCCTTTTTTGTGAAGTGGCTGTTCAAGTCTTTCATCTATTTTCCTATTGGACTGTTAAATGTTTTTAAGGTTTCTGAACTAAAGTATATGAAAAGAAAATATATTATTCAGACCGTCTTAAACATTAAAATAAAACAGCACAAAGTTTGGAAACACTATAAAAATTAATTATATTTCAAATAAATATATATACACATTACATTTACCTTCGATAGGATCCATTATCATTACTTAAAAACACTGATATGTATAGCTGTTAAGTATGCAAAAATTACATAGCAATGCAAGTCACCTATCAAACATTTAATAAAGTATAAAAAAAATTCATTATCTGATCTTCTACAAAGGAGCCCTGGTGGTGCAATGAACGGTTAAGCACTTGGCTGATAACCGAAAGACTGGCGGTTCAAACCCACCCAGTGGCTCTGTAGGAGAGAGAACTGGTGACCTGCTTCCGTAAAGATTATGGTCTAGAAAATCCTATTGAGGCAGTTCTACTCTGTCACATGGTGTCACTATGAGTCGGAATCGACTCCATGACATCTAACAACAACAGTAACAACAATCTTATACAAATGGTTTCTCTATTTCCCAAACCCTACCACAATCCATAGGGCACAAATACTGGCCAACTAGTTTTAACTTTTATGTTAGACATAATTGTTTTTTTTTTTTTAAACCATTAAGACAGCTAAGAGATTAACTCTATGGAGCTTAGCTTTTCTCAGGCATCTAACATGGGGGAAAACGTCCAACGAAGTTACAGGGATCACATTGTTACTTTTCTAGTATGAAAAAACAACTTTTCTAGTATGAAAAAACATAAACATCTCATCTGAAGATACTACATTTACAAGTCTAAGTGGGCTCTAATATAAATGTATATGGAGAGGTTTTGAAGAATAAATTGGATATCCCAGGGGAGGATCGGCTGCTTGTACTGTAAGGTTTCTTAAAAGTAGTGGATGAGCTTGTATACTGTAACGTTCCTCATCATCATTTGTGGCATACAGCAATTCCCATGAAAGATTCGCCCACTGTCCTCTAATAGCTTCAGCATTCAACTTCCCAACTTGGATCAACGATTCTTGAAGGGTAAGTACTCTCCCAGTATAAACTCCCTTAGAAGTTAAAAAAAAAAAGGAGGGGGAAAGAAGGAGAGAAAAAGAAATTATGTTCAGTCTTTATATTTTATTTATACATTTTGGGAAAAAAAATCTCACTGCAAACTTTCTCCCGAGATCAAAACAGAGGAAGTGGTGTATTAAAATGTACACACGAGTTGCTAATCTTCAGCATCAAGAATCACTTTTATTTCTCTAGTTCTCTGAATAAGTATGAGAAGAGAAATTCCCTGGAAGCCATTCTATTTAACAGCCAGAACAGCATAATCCCAGCTACTTTTCTTCCTTTCCTTTTCCTTTTTCTACTCCCTCATTCCATTTGGCCTCAGTGATACATAAACCATACGTACTAGTCAGTGGATCATCATGCAATCAGTTCTTTAAAAAAAAAAAAAAGCTATTGAGATATAATTCATATACTATACAATTTACCCACTTATACAGTTCAATGTTTTTTAGTATATTCACAGGTATGTGCAACCATCACCACAGTCAATTTTAGAACATTTTCATGCTTCTCTGAGTAACACCCTGCCATTAGGAGATGAATGGCTGGTGGAGGTGGGGAAGTAGCCTCAGGTCGTCTTGGCATGGGACCTCTACCTTACCAGCCAGGGTAATAAGGGTGAGCAAAGACAGTGTTCTCAAAGGTTCTATGGCCAAGGCAGAACCTCTGTCCCATGAATGGGGTTGGTTAAAAGGGAGTCTCCCACCTCTAGGCACCAGCAACAGGTGGCTGGGGGCAGGATGAGAAATGCTGAAGTCCTGCCCTTTCCTGGGAAAACAGCCCTCCAACTGGGAGCTGGAGTGAAAGGGGGCCCTGTGTTCTTGGCTGTATAGTCTAAGTGGAGTTTCGGTTTTGCTAAGCTGGAGGCGGGTGGGTAGGGAGTGTTCTTGGTTCAAATATCAAAGTCCCTTGTTGCTGTTACCAAGCTTTTGTAGATTTTCTTTAATGTTTCTTCATTTGCTGTATGCCCTTAGGACCATCTGAGGCTTTAAAGAGTTATTTTTAAATCATTTTCATCAGTTTCACTGGGAAGTGTGCCTGCTGAATCTCCCATGCTGCCGTGCCAGAAGTGGAACCCACAATAGGCTCTTAACGTTGAATCTTTCACATTGTGCACACTGGATGACATTTTAAATGCGGTGAGAACAAGAACCAAATCACAGAAAAATTATGCTCTATTTTGAGTCTCTCTGGATTTTCCCAGGTCAGATTTGCTTCAAAATAAGGTTTGCTTTAAAATACAGTTGTCAGTGAAAGAAATACTTGGCCACATATAAATTACTTTCTCTTCCAGGAGTCAAATCCAAAGTGATAATTCGTACACTTAAGCTGGGCATAGGAATACAATTCATTTAATTAAATATGCTATAGCAAATTATAGTTACTTGGCTATCTTATAGGTCAGTTGTTGCACAATGGCTACACAGTATTTTTAATGATTTCCTATTAAGCTGGCAAAAGTGAATGAATCAGCCATTCTAGGGTTGGACTGTGTTGGGCACAAAATCACTACAAATGCCTTAAAACTGTAATTAGTGTAGCCACTGCTAGAATGTTACAGCTCTATCACTTTGTTGAAATACTTTATAACTGATTTCCATTCTTTAATGTAGAAAAAAAAAGTTTAAAAACACGTATCTAAACTTACCATATTAGGATCATACCCCAGAGAAAATAAGTATGGCTTTTCTTGTAAAACTGCTTCCTTCCACTTTTCATCAGATACCAAACCAATGTACCAGTCACTTTCATATTCTTCAAGGCAGTTACTCAGCTCTTTAAAGCCTTCTATTGGACTTAAACTTGCTTTATCAATCATTAGTTTCAGAGTATACCTAAAAAAAAAAAAAAATGGAGAACCAAACATTTTAGAATCTCTTTTTATCATTGTTATAGATGGAACAGATTTTGTTAAATTAGTATTTTAAAGATGTTGATCTGCAATTGCAAATATTTCAGAGGAAAAGATCAGGGAGAAATGATGCAGTTGAAGTGAACAAATCCAGTATGCCATGTAAAAAAAATAGGTCTTCCACATAAATAAAACCAAGGGAAGTACAAACTAAAAGCGTACTCTGGAAATAATCACAATACATATTTAGCATTTTTTCTCCAATTTTAGACGATTTTTTTTAATTAGCAATAAAAAAATATCTTATTCTAGGTGAACTAAAAAAATCAACATTTTCTTGCCAATGTTACCACTTTTAAATAATCAAAGTGAATTACCTGAATGCTTTCAGGGCTAGCTGGAATAGTTCTCGTTTTTCCATGAGCCAATCCAGGGCAACAGACCAAGGCAAAACACCATTGTAAACTCTCAATATGTGACCAGGACTAGGAGCCATATTGTCTGTTCCAAACAAACTAAAATAACAAGTCATTACTACATGAATATAAAAGTCTTTTAAAACTTTATCCTTTGCAATTTCTTCCAGTACATCTGAGTCCTTTTCTTCTGAATAAAAACATTCCAACTGCCTTAAAACAAACTGGTACCAGTCTTCTGGAAATAACGAGCTCATCTCCTTCATTTTGGAATTAGGTAAACAATTAGACCTCCACTCTTTAGGTAAGCTTAACAAGTGAGAATGTGAACCACTAAACTCCGTAAGAGGGATATATGCCATGTCTTCTTGTTTTCCTTTGTCAATAGCAGGGTATCCCAATATAACTGTTTTATAAAGACTGTTTTCAGGAACTTTGCCTGGATCACCAACCTTCCTTGATTCTACTGATCCTGGAAGAGACAAATGTGTATCTGGCAAAACTTTCAACTGATCTTTTTCTTCTTTTCTTTTTTTGATGGTTGGCTCATCATCAAAAATATTATCATCAGACCAGTCATCAAAAGTTTCTGAATTTAAACTATCCATGTCTTCTGGGCAGTAGGGTTGTGGTGAAGGATTCAAAGTGGGTAGGATTATTAGAGGCGCCTTCCCTTTATTTTCAGTTTTGTGAACGCTGTCCTGCATGCTGGGCCTTTTGGAGCAGTAATGAACAATTATCCACACAAGTACTTTAACAAGGTCATCTTTAAATTCTTTTAAGTTTTCATGAGAATCGATTATGCCAGATAGGACATTCCTGGCATCAGAATATAGTTTCACAGGCAAAACTGTACAGGGTGTCAAGATATTTCCAAAGTGCTCATTAAGGGAACATACTCTTGCATATTCTTCCTGCTCAAAGGCACCTTCAAAAACTTCATCAACTCTTCGAGCTTCAGCAGTGTGACAGGATGTCTCCTGCAATTCTAACCCCTAAAGAGGAAATAAAATGTACTTGAGTTTATGATCATTTATTACAGAGAAAAGCAACTAGTTTCATAAATGCCCATGGATTCACACAATAAAAATAATGGAAAATGCAAAAGTTTATTTTAACTCAAGAGCTACACACCTTAATTCAAACTTAGTGGCACTTAACACATTTGATGCTGAATACAGATATTAAAATTAATGCTACTATTATTTTAAAAGTTATTACAGAAAGTCCACTACATATGGGCAAAACAACTTCACTAATTATAAACCTAACTTTAAAAGAATGTATCTATAGTCAGGTTGAATTACTTATTAAAAACTTTTTTAAATTATAAATTCTTTTGAGAAAAAAAGCAAAATTGAAATTATACAGTATGTACAGCAGTTCTGTATCCTTTCCACCCCATTTTATATGAGATTGAGAGCATTATTCTATTGTATGGATGTGCCATAATTTATTTAACCATTCTCCTGTTCTAGGTTTTTATTATGATGATAAAATAATAGATTTGATTATTGTTTCTCTACTCCAATTACAATGTAAACTACATAAAGCAGGTCTCTTTTGATAACTACCTCCAAGTGCTATATGAATTTTGAACACATTTTGATTACTTCCCTAGAAGGAATCACTTGAAGAAGAAATACCAGGTCACTATTTACTATTATTGTTCTTTATTTATATATTTTTACAAAACTACCAGTGCCATCAAGAAAAGGTAATGTTGTCAGATTGTATTATGATCCAGGGAAAGAACATGGGATGTGGTATCAGAACACATTTTAAGTTATGGCTCCACCAGGTGCTGGCTATGCAATCTTGAGTAGGTCACTTACTCGGAGATTTCCTTTTCCCTTTCTTTTGAAGAAAAATAATTCTACCACTTAGGGTTATGAAGATTAAATTAGGTAAGTAATAAAAGTGCTTTGTAAACTTTAAAGCATTATATAAATGTTAGTAAATGGTGTAGCTAAGCCAGTTTGTGCCAAAAAAAAAAAAAAAAAACGGACTGACACCAAAAACTATGCCTTCATCCCACATATGCTACAGCGCATAGAAGATCAATAAAAGGCCCACATTTTGGGTATTATAAAATGACACCATTTTTTTAATAGAACAAAATTAAGCAATAAAACATGATGGTTAAGATTGTGTGTCAACTTGGCTGGGCCATGATTCTCAGTGTTTATATGTGATCACTCCCATGATTGAATATGCTGTGAGTAGCCAATCGGGAAAGGGAGCTTCCCTGGGGGTGTGGACTACATCTGAATATAAGCAGACGTTCTGTATTTTTGCTCACTCTGGATCCTGTGGCTGCCTCCTGTTCGTCTGACCTCCGGTTCTTGGGACTTGAGCTGTCAGCTTATCTGCCGAACTTGGGATCTGTTGACCGTCACAGCCCATGAGCGGGAGCCCTGCTCTCCAACCTGCCGATCTTGAGCTCGCCAGCTTTTACAGCTGTGTGAATTGGGGGAGGCCTCTACCTTGATCCATGGACTTGGGATGTTCTAGCCTCTACAATCGCTTGAGCTGTTTCCTTGATATAAGTCTCTCTATACATGTATTTATACGCTTTACTGGTTTTGCTTCTCTAGAGAACCCAGCCTACGACAAAACATCCTTAGTGTTTTGCATGATTTTATGCCTTCTTTACTATTTGTACAGGTTAGACTAGAACAGTGGTTCTCAAACTTTAGCTGAGTCAGAATCACCTGGAGAGCTTGTTAAAACATAGATTGCTGGGCCCACCTCCAGAGTTTTGATTTAGGAGGTCCAGAGTGGGGCCCAAGAAATTCCATTTCTAACAAGTTCCCAGGTGATATTGATACTGCTAGTTTGAGGACTATTCTGTGAGAATCAACGGACTAAAGAAACTGCTTTAGTCACCAACTGGTGCTAAGACAAAACATTCACTCAAATATTTACTGAGGTCTTATTATGTACCAGGCACTGTTCCAGGGGCTTAGGATATATCCCCAAATAAAACAAAGATTGCTACCCCTGTGACATTTACATTAAGAGAATGGGGGAAGATGGAAAATCAATAATAAAACTAATAAATAAGTAAATTACATAGTATGCTGGAAGGTATAAGTGCTATGACAATTAAAACAAAAGGTAAAGCAAGGGGAATTGGGAGTGCAAGGATGGAGGTGGGGGTACAATTTTAAATAGAATGGCCATAGTAGACCTCATTGAGAAGGTGACATTTGAGCAAAGACTTTAAAGTAATGAGAGTGTTAGCCATTTGGTTGCCTGAGGGAAGCGTGGTCTAGGCAGAAGGAACAGCCAGTAGGCTGGAGTAAGGTGAGAGGGTTAAAATAGTGGATGAGGCCAAAGAAGGGAAAGGGATCCTGACCATTTAGCACCTTGGCTTTTACTCTGAATGAAACAGAGATCTACTGTAGGGTTTTGAGCAGAGAAATGATACGATCTGACTTAGATTTTTAAAAGATCACTCTGGTTGTTGTGTTGAGAATAGCCTGTAGGGGGACAGAGAAGCAGGGGACCAATTAGAAGGCTACTGCAATTACCCAGGCAAGGGATGAAAGTGGCTGGGGCCAGGGTAATGAGAAGTGGTGGGATATAGCATATGGTTTAAAGATGGAGTCAACAGGATTTCTGGATATGAGTAGAAAAGTAAACAAGGAGTCAAATATTACTCCAATGTTTCTGGCCTAAGCAACCAGAAGGATAGAGTTGCCACCAAGGACTCTGGGGAACGCTGATGCAAAGAGATCGAGGAAAAGAGAAGGAATCATCGAAGGGAACTGACAAGGAGTGACCTGTGAAACAAGTGAAGAGAAGGAAGTGATAAACTGTCAAATGCTGCTGACAGGTCAAATGAGACAGGTCTGAGAGTTGAGCACTGGATTCAGCAATGTGACAGTTACTACAGACCTTGACAAGAGCAGTTTTGGTGAAATAATGCGGTCAAAAAGCTAAAATTGAAGCCCAAATGGAAGAAATGAAATTGGAGATTTGATTATAAGTAACTATACTAAGGCATTTTGCTCTCAAAGGAGAGAAATGGGATGTAGTAGATAAGGTTTTATTAAGTTGAGAATACTTACATGTTAAAATGCTAAAAAAAAAATCACTAATTCACACTTTTGAGATGCTTAGCTAGTGAGAGATGAAAAGGACAGGACTGGAAGAAAGGGTAGCAAGTATGTTTTGTTACTATGCTGCTCTATTATACAATCAATATTAGTCTGCCTATTGATATGTGCATATTGAAATATACTTTTAAAATCCCTAGGTGTTTTCACAGCTAACTAAAAAGGCATTCTTCTTTCAATTGAGCTACTTTTTGATATGTACATAACAAATAAAATCTTACACATGTACAATAAAAACACTAAAAAGGTTTCAAATGAACATTAACCTTAATATTAATACAGCAGTAAGTATAGCCTCGTTCTAGAATCATTATCCATATTAAACGATCTTGAAAACGGCCCAAGTAATGAGACCCCGGTAAGAGGAGACCTAAAACAAATAAGAAAAAAAGGGAATCATTTTTCAAGCTTGTTTTATTTTGTCACGTGAATCTTCAAAATTGACAACACATTTGGAACTGACTCACCATTCCTTCAACCTTCCCATTAGGTCAAGAATAGAAGCAACTATTCATTGCATATTAACCCAACTGAGTCCTGTGAGTCCTCCTAGTGAATCATCAAGCCTAGGAGTGGTCTTGGGGATCCCTGACACATATGTGTAATAGTTTCTCTAGAACTAGAATCCTTGGCCCATGGTATAGGCACATCTTTACTATAGACTACCAGTTTACTCTTAAGGTAGCTGCATAAATTTATATTCCCTCCAGTAGAGTTTGAGAGTTCCAGCTCCTCATATCCTAGCCAATACTTGGTAGTGTCAGACTTTTTAATCTTTGCCAGTCAGATGTATGGGAAATCATATCTCATTGTTTTTTTTTCTCCTCCAGGAAATACTTTATAACACGCTTCTTGGCTAAGTGTAACCTGATTTGATAATAAAGTATAATTTCTACACTATGACTAAGATACTTCCCATTTCAGATGTGAATTTAACCCCACAGGTGTTTTTAAAAACAGCAAAGCATTATGTAATAAAAATTAATTGGAACTGGGTAAGAGTTAAAAACAGAATATTTTCTATAAGAAAATGATTATTCATAAAAAATGTATACTACAAAGATAAATTATTTCCTAAATTACCTAACATAATAGTAAACAATTATAAAAGTTTACCCCAGGTAAACACTTCACTAATATTCTGATGTAAAACTGCTACCCTGCCTTGAATCAGTTTGCTAGAAAGTCATCTGTCATTTCTACAACAAGTTTCAGGGGTTAAACCATATGGTAACGTTGAGAAGTACAATGTACTGTAGGTGAATGTACAGTCAGCTTACTGCTTTAGTCTCTACACAATAACTAGCAAAATATAAACAAATTCCCTTGCACTCTTCAATCTAATATTATGTAAAGCTAGTTTTCATTCTTTATGGATCTAAGCTTTTACATCTACTTGACATAAACTCATTGTAATAAATTCATGAAAATTCTGGGGAAAAAAGTGTTTCATGTTTTAATGGTAGGACTGTCACCTGATTTTGTTAAAAAAAAAGTGTCTGAAAAATTGTCAAATCATCTTAATGAAAATTTCCATTTTTGTTTTATAACTTTACCTTAAGGAGCAAGAGGTATATTTCTATCTCACATTTAGTCTTTCTGCCTACACAACAAAATACTGGAATCTATTTTATAGGCCATTATACAGTGGGATCAAAAAATTGTTTTTTTTTTTGTGTTTTTTTTTTTTTTTTGCACTTCATACTTAGGATTTCTTAAGCACAACCCATTTACTTACCTAAACTTCCAGCTGCCATTGCAGACTGCAATGCAGCAGCCAAACTTGGGACCATCTGGTAGTAGTACACTGTATCTGCACACACACAGGCTGCAGTGCCCACTGCTCCTGGCCAACTCTGAATAGGTCGGGGAAACCCCACCAAGAACACAGGAAGGGTGAAGAGAGGAAGTAAGGGAGAAGAGAGTAGTGTAGAAAAAACTATGAAGAGCAACACAAACGGAGAGAAGACAATGTTGAATATACATAAAGTGGCAGCTGACTTTCGACGTTGTTTTTTCTCTGTCCATGATGCCAAAAGTACAGTCATAGCAAACTGTAATTTAGAGATGAACTGAATCAGACGATCACGCACAATACCAACCTGCAGAGATGTAAAAATTATTTGTATTTATTCTTAAAGACTTTTCATGAATTTTCAACACTACATAAGGAAATATCGAATAATAATTTCATTCTTGACCCAATACTTTTTTTGGGACCCAATACTTTTTTGGGGGAAATAGCCTTCATATGCAATTCTTTGTTACAACTTTTTTTTCCAACCTCACAATAAATAAATAAGACTGTATTTTCAAAAGTTTGGGATCTCTTTAGGAAAAAAAAAGTACCACTAAAGAGAACCAGGTAAGAGTGTTATCTATACCTTAACTGACTAAGCTTTAAGTCATGAGGCCAGAAGTGGTAGAAGTTAAGCAACAGAATTCTCAGGAAAAGTAAAGATAAACTTTGGAAGCCATTCTGTTTATTATTATTCTGTATCTAGTCATCTTGATTGAGTTTATGACATTTTAATTCAGTCATAAAAAAGAAGCCATTACATTTCCAGCTTTTAAAAACTGCAGAAATCACTTGCATACCAAGTATGAATTTAGGAAAATTGGAAATTGTGAAAAATGAAATGGGACGCATAAACATCAATATCCTAGGCATTAGTGAGCTGAAATGGACTGGTATTGGCCATCTGACTAAGACAATCATATGGTCTACTATGCCAGGAATGACAACTTGAAATGGTGTTACACTCACCATCAAAAAGAACATTTCAAGATCTATCCTGAAGTACAACGCTGTCAGTGATAGGATAATATCCATATCCCTACAAGGAAGACCAGTTAATATGACTTTATTCAAATTTACCCACCAACCACTAAGGCCAAAGATGAGGAAATTGAAGATTTTCACCAACTTCTGCAGTCTGAAATTGACTAAACATGCAGTCAGGATGCACTGATAATTACTGGTGACTGGAATGTGAAAGTTGGAAACAAAGAAGAAGGATCAGTAGTTGGAAAATCTGGCCTTCATGATAGAAATGATGCCAGAGATCGCATGATAGAATTTTGCAAGACCAAAGAATTCTTCATCACAAATACCTTTTTTCAACAGCGTGAACAGTGATACATGTGGACCTCGCCATATGGAATACACAGGAATCAAAGTCACTACATCTGTGGAAAGAGATGATGGAAAAGCTCAATATCATCAGTCAGAACAAGGTCAGAGGCAGACTTTGGAATAGACCATCAATTGCTCATATGCAAGTTTAAGTTGAAACTGAAGAAAATTAGAACAAGTCCATGAGAGCTAAAAATGACCTTGAATATATCCTACTTGAATTTAGAGACCATTTCAAGAATAGATTTGATGCACTGAACACTAATGACCAAAGACCAGATGAGTTGTGGAATGACATCAAGGCCATCATACAGAAAGAAAGCAAGAGGTTGTTAAAAACACAGGAAAGAAAGAGAAAAATCAAAATGGATGTAAGCAGAGACTCTGAAACTTTCTCTTGAAATTGAGTAGCTAAAGTAAAGGGAAGAATGATGAAGTTAAAGAGCTGAGCAGAAGATTTCAAAGGGCGGCTCAAGAAGACAAAGTAAAATATTATAATGAGATGTGCAAAGACCTGGAATTAGAAAACCAAAAGTGAAGAACACACTCAGCATTTCTCAAGCTGAAAGAACTGAAGAAAATATTCAAGCCTCGAGTTGCAATACTGAAGGATTCTACAGGAAAAATATTAAACGATGCAGGAAGCATCAAAAGAAGATGGATGGAATACACAGAGTCACTGTGCCAAAAAGAATTGGTCAACATTCAACCATTTTAAGAGGCAGCATATCATCAGGAACTGATGGTACTGAAAGAAGAGGTCCAAGTTGCACTGAAGGCATTGGTGAAAAACAAGTCTCCAAGACTTGAGGGAACACCAATCGAGATGTTTGAACAAACAGATGTCTGCCAAGAAATCTGGAAGACAGTTACCTGGCCAAATGACTGCAAGAGATCCATATTTATGCCTATTCCCAAGAAAGGTGATCCAACCAAATGTAGAAATTATCGAACAATTACACCCAAGTAAAATTTTGCTGAAGATCATTACAGGGAACTGCCAGAAATTCAAGCCAGATTCAGAAGAGAATGTGGAACCAGGGATATCACACCTGATGTCAGATGGATCCTGGCTGAAAGTAGAGAATACCAGAAAGATGTTTATCTGTTTTATTAACTATTCAAAGGCATTCGACTCTGTGGGTCATAACAAATTATGGATAACAATGTGAAGAAACAGAATTCCAGAACACTTAATTGTGCTCATGAGGAACTTGTACATAGATCAAGGGGCTGTTCAAACACAGCAAGGGGATACTGCATGGTTTAAAGTCAGGAAAGGTGTGCATCAGGGTTGTATCCTTTCACCATACCTATTCAATCTGTATAACCTAGCAAATAATCCGAGAAGCTGGACTATATGAAGAAGAACGGGACATCAGGATTGGAGGAAGACTCATTAACAACTTGCGACATGGAGATGACACAACCTTGCCTGCAGAAAGCGAAAAGGACTGGAAACACTCACTGATGAAGATTAAAGACCACAGCCTGCAGTATGGATTACATCTCAACATAAAGAAAACAAAAATCCTCACAATTGGATGAATAAGTATCATGATAAATAGAGAAAATATTGAAGTTATCAAGGATTTCATTTTACTTGGATCCACAATCAACACCCATGGAAGCAGCAGTCAAGAAATCAAAAGACGGATTGCATTAGGCAAATCTTTAAAGTGTTGAAAAGCAAAGATGTCACCTTGAAGACTAAGGTGGGCCTGACCCAAGCCATGGTGTTTTCAATCACCTCATATGCATGCGAAACCTGGACAATGAATAAGGAAGACAGAGAACTGATGCCTTTGAATTGTGGTGTTGGCAAAGAATACTGAATATGCCATGGACTGCCAAAAGAACGAACAAATCTGTCTTGGAAGAAAGGCTCCTTAGAAGCAAGGATGGTGAGACTACATCTCACATACTCTGGACATGTTATCAGGAGAGATCAGTCCCTGGAGGACATCATGCTTGGTAAAGTAGAGGGTCAGCGCAAAAGAAGAAGACTCTAAACAAGATGGACTGACACAGTGGCTGCAACAATGGGCTCAAGCTTAACAACAACTGTGAGGATAGCGCAGGACCAGGCAGTGTTTTGTTCTGTTGTACACAGGGTTACTATGAGTCAGGATTGACTCAGTGGCACCTAACAATAAGAAGTCACTTGCAAAACTAATATCCTCATCCCAGTGTTATCGTCAACTCCTAGAGGAGAAGCAGGGCTAAACTGACCAAGGACTTTTTTTTCATATATTATTTGATGACCAAAAAGCATACTTTACATTTTGATGCAGTTAAGTCAAAATGCCCACCTTCCTCTAACTAGTAAAGACAAAGAGATTTCTATCTTGCGCTTAAAAGGATTTAAAAAATCTCCTTCAAGAGAAAGCTTATTCTCATGGTTATCTATAGTTACAATTTTTACTTTGGAATTAAAATACAATCTAACAAATTAATTACCTCCAAGTAATTAATTTTCTTTTTTTAATTTTAATAATCTGCTTTATTTAATATAACAAATCTAAAATATTATTTCAACATGTAATCAATATTAAAAAATATTAATGAGATATTTTACATTCTTCTTTTTAAGTCTTTGAAATGTGGGGTGTATTTTACACTCATCAGTTGCTGTTGAATCAGTTCTCACTCATGGCCACCCCACATGTGTAAGAGTAGAACTGTGCTCCATAGGGTTTTCAATGGCTGACTTTTTGGGAAGTAGATTGCCAAGTCTTTCTTCCGAGGTTAATTTTCTCTAATATTTTTCTACCTCAAGGAAACATGGATTTATGAACAACTAAAAGTAAGGTTATTCAGAGTTTCCTGCACTGGTGCCTCAGATAATTCTAACCAAACTTCTCTTTTCATTTAATTGCCATATTTTCAAAACACAAAACATTCTCCCCTAGGAGATCTGAAAAGTCTTTTCCCCTAATCAAACCATTCGATGTTATAAATTACTTCACATTTTTACTACTGCACTGTATAATAAGTTGTGGGAAAAAAAATTATTTGCTTCCAAAATTTTTATTGACATACCTGGCTTTACAGTCTTCTGCTAGAATTGTCATTTACTTCCTCAAAGTACATGTATTTTTGTATACATAAAAATAAAAGATCCGTATAGTACAAAAATGTGGTTGGCCTTCTCAATGTTAACTGCAAAGGGTACTAACACCCCTCCAAACATTTCTATATCCTGTAATTACCCATCATGAAAATCATCCACAGCCTTATCTAAATCTTCTGAAATTTGTTTTCATTTTGTGCCATCATGTGGGGAAATGAGGTTCAATGGTTTACTGGCTACGCTTTGTGGAGTAGAACTACTTCCTCTTTATCCCCTTGTTAAAACTGCCTCAAATCAAAGAACTGCAACAATGAAATGCCCTTAGAGAGAACTGGACATTTTCTTAATACTGCTGATGAGAATATAAAATGGAATAACCTTCCTGGAGGGCCATCTGGCAACATGAATCAAGAGCTCTAAAAATGTCCTTAACTCTTGGGCCGGCAATTCTACTTCTAGGAATTTATCCTAAAGAAATGATGATGGACGTGTACAGTGACTCAGCTACAAGGATAATTGCTGCCTCTTTTTAGTAAGGAAAATATGAAACAGTTATTTTTAACGTCAGTAGGGTGCTTAATTAGATTATGTATACATGAACAACAGACTGATGCTGAAGAGTAAGAATGAAAAGCTGTTCACGGTATGGTGTTATAGATTACAAAATAACACGTACAGTGTGTATGATCTTATTTCTGTTGATAAAAGAACACATGAATATGAATATAAAAGCCTGAAAAAGTATACAGCAAACTGTTAAACAGTGATTATCTCTAAATTTCTGGTGGGATTACAGATGACAAAACTGATACCAAAACAAAAAACAAATAAGCTTCTTTGTGAAACACCAATCTCACAGCAAAAGAAAAACAAAACAAACAAATCCAATGAAGGTACATCCTCCAAGTTGCTAAATATCAACTGCTCAGTTTGTTGAAGGGACGGAACATGTGACAGGAAGCAGAAATTGCCTCCTTGTGCTCTTAACTTAAATGTTGTCCAAATAGAATTACTCATTCCAAAGGATAATGAAAATGTTTACAATTGAAACAAGAGATTTTATTAATTTGTATGTGTGGAGGGGTGTTGTCTGGAGTTTAGAATTGAACCACTGGGCTTGTTTGAGATTTCTGACGCACCTTAAATCAGCTTACGGTGTAGAATGATGGCTTTGGGTCTAAGATCTTTTTGTCTGGAGGTATGGGAATCTCATACCTCCAACCTCTCCAGTTTTACGTCTCAGCTGTTATTTAAACTACCAGTAGCAACAATGGTTTAGATTCCTTGAAGCTCTTGGAATTCAAATTGGAATGTCTAGTGGACAGAAACAAAACTGACCATAGTTTGACTATCTTGGTAGATGATTAAAAATAGCCATCATAAGCCAATGGTAGTCAAAATCTAGTATAATATGTCATTCTTTAGTTTATGAGGCTATTCCATTTGTTCCCCTTTTGTTCTCTTTTCTCATTTAACTCCCTTTTTCCAGTCTCCCAGTCTATCACTGACTTTTTCTCCTTCTCCTCTTCCTAGGTTTTACATCTAAAACGAGTGTTGCTTTTTCAATAGATTATTTTAGTCCCACTACTAAGAGAAGTGTTTTCATTTCTGTTATTTCATTTACAGCTTCCAACAGCTCTATAAGGTGGATATTGTTATCCTTACTTTAACATTATTTTACAGAGTATTTTATAGATTAAGGAATAGAAGTCATGTCATAAGACAAAAAAGCCTCAACAGACTGAAGTCATACAAAGTATGTTCATAAAAATCATATAAAGTATGTTTTCCCACTATAATGGAATTAAATTAGAAATCAACAGCAGAAAAAAATCTGGGATATACACAAATATTCAGAAATTAAAAAACATATTCCATGCCAGCTAATGCATTTACCCAAAGAAAGAAATCATAAAGGTAATTAGAATATACTTTCAGATGAATGAAAAGAAAAACACAACACACTAAAACATGAGATATAGCTAGCAGTGCTCAGAAGGAAATTTATACCTATAAATGGCTATGTGAAAAGAGAAGAAAGATCTTACATTAACAACCTAACCTTCCATCTTAGGAAACTAGAAAACAAAGAGGACACTAAACCTAAAGCAAGCAAAAGGGAGGAAATTATAAAGATTAGAGTGGAAATTAATAAAATAGAGAAACAAAATACAATAGAGAATATCAATGAAACCAAAAGCTGGTTCTCTGAAGAGATCAATAAAATGGACAAACCTTTAGCTAGACCGACCACGGAAAAAACAGAGAATACTAACATCAGGAAAGACAGGAGGACATTACTACAAACCTTACAGAAATTTAAATTAAAAAAAAAAAAAGTTTAAGGGACTATTACTAACAACTGTATGCCAAAAAATTCCTCAAAGTGTTACAAAGAGTTACTATATGACCCAGAAATTCCACTACCAGCTACATATCCAAGAGAAATGAAAACATACGTCCATATAAAAACTTATACACAAATGTTCACAGAAGCATTATTCCTAATAGCAAAAAAAACAGACCACCTAACTATCCATCCACTAATCAATGAACCGACCAAATGTGGTACAGTCATACAATGGAATATTATTTGGCAATAAAAAAAATTAAGTATTGATTCATGGATGAACCTTGAAAATATTATATAAGTGAAAGAATCCAGGTGCAGAAGACCATGTATCGTATGATTCCACTTATGTGAAATGTCCAAACTAGGTAATCCATAGAGACAGAAAGTAGACTAGCGGTTGCTGTGAGTAGAGTGGGGCGTGGGTAGGATGGATAGCAGGAATGGGGAATGACTATAGATGTGTACGAGGTTTCTTTTTGGGGTGTTGAAAATATTCTAAACTTAGATTGCTGTGATGACTGCCAAACCATGAGTATACACTACTGAACTGTACACTTTAAATGGATAAGTTTTATGGTATATGCAATATATCTCAAAGATTTAAAAAAAAAAAAGATTTACCAGTAAGAGTCTAATTCCTGTATCCAGGCTTCTATTCCACCATAAGTCTTTACTGAAGATCAGTGAGTGCACTACTGATACTGTGACTATCTCTGATAAAGCATTTTCTGTATTCTGCCATACCTGCAGTACACAAATACCCATTTTTATTATGTAAAATTTGATAATCTAAGCAAACTGTTAATGTAAACGTAATCAAAATTAAACTTAGAAATTGGAAAATACTATTAAGTACATATTAGGATTACCATTCTAAAAGCTCTTGTGAATCCAATGGAGACAGCCACAGAGTGGGGCCTCTGTAAGGAACTGTCCAATGAAAGAAATGCTATCATAGCAAAAGGTGACACTAAAACAAAAAAGAGACACATTTAATTAATGTAAAGTAACCCCTTCTACTATATTTTATTTTGGTGAAGATAAGAATTTGTTATGAACACATTTAAGCAATTAAAAAACCAATAAAACAAAATCATAAAGAATAATACTTGTATGTAGTATAAATCAAAAGATCAAACCCGTTGCCACTGCATCGATTCCTACTCATAGTCACCTTACAGGACAGAGTAGAACTGCCCTGTAGGGTTTCCAAGGCTGTAATCTTTTCGGAAGCAGACTGCCACATCTTTCTCCCACGGAGCAGCTGTTGGGTTTGAACTACTGGCCTTTCAGTTAGCAGCTGAGTGCTTGACCACTGTGCCACCAGGGCTCCTTGTATGCAGTATAATACCACACAAATATGGGAATTCCATATTTCTGTACACTTCCTAGCTATGGTTTGTAATATAAAGTCAGATTTTATCTTCCTACCTAGAGTCAGCAAAATCCGTCTGACAACACCAATCTTCATGAGCCTTGTTTGCTTCTCTAAGAATACAGTCACAGTTTGCACATCCTTTGGATAGAAAGGGTTTCGGACAATTCCAAGGATATAGACACTTTGAATTTCTCTAAGTATCCACAGTATTATAAGTAACATCATCAAAATATAGCCAATAATAGCTTGGGGACTGCTTTTGGAAATCTGTGAGAAATCAGCACAGTGATGCAGCAAACTAGTTTCTAAGAGAGCCAAAACGAACATAATAATGTAGAAAACACATTCCTTCCATGTAAACTGTGTTTCTGAGCCACTGGGTAAAGCCTTAGATTTGGTTCTAACTCTGTGTCTGGTCACACTGTGTTTGAAGATAAAACAGATCTCACTTAGGTTAAGACTCAGTAAGAACCCAAGTCCGGTCATGAAAAGAAC